TACATGAGATAACTTGCATTACACGCAACTAAAAGGAGAATAAACTTATCTATTATTCTTTTTTTTACATTACTTGCACCTTAAAGAAAAGAAGAATACATAAGTTTCTTTACAACTAAACTAAGAGGAAGAAACAATAAAGGCAAAATACAAGCATATGAACAACCAATGGTACTAAAGGCTAAAATACAAGCCATAAAATCTATGTTATGCCTTTTTATGCTTCTTGTCACTCTTTTGCTCTCTTCATCCTTGTCTTATATATGACCACATCACTCAACCCCACAAAATCGGCTTTAAGGTGAGGTTTCCACCTACATATATACTCTAAGTTGGTCTTATCTCTAATTGATGTGGGACTTCCATTACACCTATTCACATCGAGACATATACATCACGAGTGTGAGGCTAGACATTATTAGATGGTCCGATAGCGATCCGATAATGGGTAGAACAATAGATTCAACAAATATCAAATTTTGCTAGGATAAACTTTGACCAATGACTTTGATAGTTGAGAAATAGATTTTAAGCTTAACTCAACATCACAAAACTAACTTGTAAGGTGATGTTTGCAACCGATATATACTCTAAATTTGTCTTATCTCTAGTCAATGTGAGGCTTCCGTCTGATCAGCCAGAGAATCTCTGTCGTTCAATATGATTAAACAAGTTTGTTTTTCTCAAAATTTAGTTCATTTTATTCATCAACAATCTGGCATATTTATGTGTACAAACCATGTCATGTAAAGACTCATGTACAACATATTTAAAGATATCTAATTTAATATACATCTTTTAACGATAGAAAGAAATTAAATAACTTTTTCACATTTAAACACATGTTAATAACTATACTACTTTTAAGAATTACAATGATAATATCACACATTTTCATAGATAAATATGATTATTTATCCTTAAATTATTTTTGTATATAATTTTTTTTTCAAGACTAAATTATCTTATCTTTTAATTTATCCATTGAATATTTTACTAATATATATAATAGATAAGAATGATGATACCTGGTGGGTCACTTACATGTTTTTCCACCATAGAATTCACATTTTTGGTACAAATCAAATTTGTTTATTTGATTATTCAAACAAAGGTTCTCTGAAGTACAATCATAGGCACAAAATCAATGAAAAGCATATCCATAATTTCCCCACCCTTTGTCCATTCAAAGTAGAATCACACAATGCACCAATATAGAAGCATCCAAAACTGTTATTAATGTAATCATATCTTTATTGAATTAATATATTTCCCCACCTTTTGTCCATTCAAAGTAGAATCACACAATGCACCAACATAGAACCATCAAAAACTGTTATTAATGTAATCGATATCATTATTGAATTAATATATTGCCCAAACTTCTACCAAAATTTTCCAATCAGGTTAATTCTTTGATTTATGAATATCTAGTTGAAGTTACCCCATAAAAGTTCAAATTTGGCAGCAATTCTAACAAATGTAGTACCTCCAATGTAATTCCATAAGTGATGTTTGAAGAAAGGACACCAGTAAAAGTTCAAATTTAATATTATGTACGACACAAGGATTTTATTTGTGTGATGATTTTTATAAAAAGAATTTAAAGAAAAAATATAATTTTTTTATTTATACTATTGAAACATAAATTTTAATTTTTTAATTACAATTTTTAGTACTTTTTCAAAAACGGAAACTCGAAATAATAAAATGATAATTTTATCTCTTAATAATAATAATAATAATAATAATAATAATAATAATAATAATAATAAGATTTTAAGGAAGAAGCTTAGACATTTCATCCCACAAAGATGTGTTAAGAGTCTATCGAAGTTAGATAAACATTCAATTTATTAAATAAAGAAAAATAAAAATGAAAAAAATAATCATCAAAACAATTTTTTAGAAGTTAAGTTAACTTATAGGATATGACCTGGTCTCTAAAAGACCCACACCTAAAAATCTCTACAAAACTCTTGCTTCCTTCTCACTTAACTGTATTGGACTAATCTAAATGCTATTTTTTACAATTTTTCTTTTGGAAATTTCCCCAAATTAAGGGATACTCTATCAAAAATATTTATAGAATATTCTGGGTTGATTGTCCAAGTTTACAAGAATTATAAACATGAACCAAAAAAATCTGCTTACACGAACTCTAAATAAAACAGTTGAGTGACCATGTTGTAAAAGGAAACATTCAAAATTAAAGAAACACAACACTGTCATGTAATGCACCAAAATGTAGCTGCTTGATATGAATCAAGAAGGTTTAGAACCTACAAAGCCGTAAATCAGGTTTAGTGATCCACTTAAACTGGAGTACAAAAGACAATTCGAAGTGTTTAAGATATCACAAGAGTGATCAAGCCTCCATAACTAAGAAAAATTCTTAAATAATTCAAGAGAAAACTCTCAATATTCTATATTTTTGGAAAGTTTTCATTCGAACCTGATTGCTGTGATACAATGAGTTTTGCACATGTATAAAGTATGTGTTGCCGAATTTCTTCTTAGATGCAAAGCTTCAAAACTAACCCTCGCTAAATTTCATCACACTGTAATAATTGAAAGATGGATTCTGTTGTTGATAGTCCAGTGTTCTAAACTGAAGATGATTGTGTGTACAACATTCTGCTTGTGTTTCCACTGCTTCTCTGACATTCAGCAAAATTATTAAGAAAAATATTTGTGCCAAGCCCACAAATATACATGCCTTGACACTTAAACCTATTACACCCAAAGGGAGTGAATGTTAACTATTTCTAAGTTTATAAATAAACCTCAACCATTAACAAAGAGAACACACCTTGAATAGTTTTAAGTCTCTTGACTTTTTGTTAGAACAATAATCAATAACTAGAAATTTTTGCTTTAGTGAGTTGACATTGTTATCAATTCATGTACGTACAAATGAGTACCCTCTCCACTCTAAATTATCCCATTACCACCATGAGTCAATTTTTTTCTACTTGTTTAGTATTGCAGATTTGTCAACAATAAACAGAGCAATTACCTTGCATAACAAAGGAATAAATCCTCTCATGCGGGACTTTTGGATGACAAGGTCACGAGAAGATTGATGAGAATGATAAATAGAAAAATCTTAAAAAGGATCACGTGACATGGTATCTATCCCTTAAATGTCCATGTCATGAAAATCTCACATGACACTAGAGGATCTATTCTGCATAAATTATAATCTTCACAACCATGGACCAGCAGAAAGTCCTTATTAGGAGTATTCAAAAAGTTATTGTTCTCTACCGTATGACTATCCTGTGAGCCACAGTCTGAACAATCAACTATAGTCTGGGTGGTCACAAACTAGTGAGCCTGGTCGAAATGTCAAACAAACTGACTGGATCATACATCAGCCCAGATGAATGTCACACAGCTCAGAGCCCATATCTCACAACTCGGAGTACAAGTCATCGAGACTTGCCATTCACCAAATAGGTCGGTTGGCCGGCCATACACCAACCCGAATAGTCAATCACCAGCTCGGTGAACAGGACAACGAGTTCGACGTGACCGACTGATCTGAATTGGAATGATCGAGATGAAGTAAAGTATAATTACTCATAATTGACCTGTAATTAAGCCGATGTTAATTAAAAACCCACCACAAAACCTATAAATAAAGGTTTGAAATAAGGAGTAGGTTACTCATTAAGTCTATCTGTTATCTCATTAAGTCTATCTGTACGTTGAATTAACTTTGGCATCCGATTGCTTTTTGGACGCACGGGGAGATTGCTTTTTGGACAGTATCTGGACCTCGGACAACATAATGCAACCTGAACCGTGGACCTTCACCCCATACCCAAAACATTCTCCAAGCAATATCAAGTTCAGTCCAATGGGCTAAAACAGCATAAGGGATCTCCAGATTGGACCTGCATATAAATGTGGCTTTTATTTTTAAATAATCAGGAAGATCTGATAATAGATGAATGTATATCTGTAGCATAAGTTGAGGCAAGTAAAAAAGTTCCAGATATATCCTACAGATAAATGTGGCTTCTATTTTTAAATATTCAGTAAGATCTGATAATAGATGAATGTATATCTGCTAGCATAAATTGAGGCATGTAGAAAAGTTCCAAATATACACTATCCTACATATATGTCTCATACACAGTTCATCCTGCATGCCAGCTCTAAATTAATTCCATGGTTGTATCAATAAAATAACGAGTAAGCTTCTTATTAAAACTGATAAGTAATCCTATACCGAAATGTCTGTCCAAAACAATATATCTGAAGTTAATACATCATAAATTTTCTCTAGTAGTCAATACAGAGTGGTAAAAACTGGCTTCTGCACTTTTCAAAATAGTTTCTTTATTTTTAACTTCAGGCTATATAGCTGTATGCTCTAAAACTTCTTGGTATCATCCAAAGAAAATTGTCTTGTCATTCACACTACTTCGAAGTTAGAATCTGTCTTACATTTTGTCACCACAAGCCTTTTATTTCGTAGCAGTAGAAAGTATGCAAGAAAGAGGGAGGGGGAAGGGATAGAAACACAAAACTTAAACTAACAAAAGAAATGAATATGCCTAAGTCCATACATTAATTCTTCTCATGCTGCCAGAATGAATACCTTCTTCAAAGTTTGAAAACCATGTAACTCTCAGCAAAATACTATAAATCCTTTGAAAAAGGGAAGAAATTGTTTTTTCTATTTCATTTTCCAAACAAACAGAAACCTAAAATCTTTGGCAAAGTTGGCGCTATTAAATAGTCTACAAAAGATAATTAATGACAAGGTTGAGATTTCACTACTTCCTCTCCGTTAGTCTACAACAAATAGATGAAAAAAATAAAAATACATAAAAAGCAGGTCAGGAAACAGTTATAGAAAAATAAATAAAGAATAAAAAACTAAGGGAACATACTGATTAATTAGATTGTTTTAAATTTATAACTTACCAGATAGAAAATGAATTTGATTTAGAAACTTAAGTTGGTTTCTCGTGTAGTATTGGGTAAGCAGCATGCAGATAGCGGTAAATTTTGGCTAGGAGGAAGAATTGAATATGAACATGCATAGAATTATTCTTCATTAATATAGGGTTATCAAGTATATTACCATGTTGGCTCTTATGAATTCCAATGACAATCCATTCCTGAAATGCCAAATTCCATCAGGGATCACTACCAATAATCGCCACAAGAGCATAATCCATCTGAAAAGTGGTGAAATCGCTTTGAATCTCGGATAATGATGGTACGCTTCTCTATCAGTGAGACAAATTTTGCTGTGTTATGGCAATCTCGGCATATTCTGAGATTTTTTATAATAACTAATGGCTTATCAGCATTACAAACCAAAAGTCCAAAGGCAAGTGCTATTTTCTCACTATGTTTGTTAATCATATATGTTTTAACCTCGACATCAACATCATGTAGAATGGGTTCAGTTTCAGACACAAAACCAACTTCTTGAATTCTTCTCATAATCTCTTCCAGCTTCTTGTGTATTTTGTCTGAATCAGGGTGAGAGTAATCATCTACCACAAAAAGGTGAATTTTATTCCCATGCTCAATAAAGCTGTATCCAGGGTTTCTGGTAAAAACTTTAGTCTTCATTAAAGCCCTTACTTTTGATGCATCATTCCACAGACCTGCAGCAGAATAAATGTTGGAAAGCATGATATAGTTTCTAGGGTCTGAAGGATTTAATGCAATCAAGTTCTCTGCAGCTTCCTTCCCAATGTCGATGTTACGATGAACCCTACAAGCACCAAGAAGAGCACCCCAAACTCCAGAATTTGGCTCTAAAGGCATGTTCTTTATTAGCTGATGAGCATCATTGACTAGACCACAGCGACCTAGAAGATCAACCATACATGAATAGTGATCCAATTGAGTTTGAACTTTGTAAACCTCAGACATGATTAGGAAGTAGTACTTTCCTTCCCGGACAAGCCCTGAATGACTACAAGCACTTAACAAATGAGTAAAAGTAACATGATCAGGCTCCACACCTTCCCTTACAGACCTTTCAAAGAATTCTACGGCTTCTTTCCCCCGCCCATGCATGGCATACCCTGCAAGCATTGCAGTCAATGCCACTTTATCAGGCTTGCTTATCTCTGCAAAGACCTTGTGAGAAACACTCAATTTCCCTAACTTTGAATACAAGTTCAAAAGAGTAGTCGCAACTGTTATATTTTCATTAAGACCACAGGTGAAGATAACACCATGCATGGCCTCTACCAATCTTCCCAAATGTAAATTTTCACAGGCTTGAAGCAAGCTCAACATTGTGGCTTCATCGGGAAAAAGTCCATTTACCCTCATCATATTAAAATAATTAACAGCTTCATTGGGGATTCCGTTTTGTGTCCAAACAGCCACCATTGAATTCCATGACACCATATTCTGCTCCGGCATTGCCCAAAATAGCTTGAAAGCAGAGTCAACGCAGCCAAACTTCCCATACATGTTAATAAGAGCATTAACAACCTTCACTTCCAACCCCATACCCAATTTCACTGCACAACAATGAAGATAGCAGCCCTCATCTCGGGCTTTAGCAGAAGCACAAGCCGAGATAACAGATATCATTGTAAGCTCATTCAATTCCAGTGCCATTTCAGACCTGATTGTAGAAAACACACTCAGGCAATTACAAAGGTCTCCTCTTTTAGAAAATCCAGAAACCAAAGAGTTCCAAGAGACAAAATCCTTGTGGGGCATTTCACTAAACAGCTTCTGGGCATCTGGGATGGACCCCTTGTTGAGATAACATGAAACTAATTGATCACCTATGAACCCATCTCTGTAATGCAGAGATTTGACCACTCGGGCATGAATGACCCTGCAACAGGAGACAGAAGATGAAGATTTCAGAGTAAGGAGTAGAGAGGAAAGAAGAGGATCACAACGATATGATGAAATGGAAAGGGACCGAGGAGAGGTTTCAAAGAGAAGGGAACAACATTCAGGAAAAGGAGGCAACATAATTTGGAACGTTATAGGTTTTAGTCTATGTAACTTGGGACCTAAGATTTTTGCATGGAACAACCTAAACATGTTACTCTCATTCAAATCTTGTGCATACGTGTTGCAAACTTTCAGAAATTTCTATTGGAGCACCATACACTAGCAATTTTAACTATATATCCTTGATTATATTATTACATGCTTGTATCTTTCAAATAATTAATACACTACAAGATAATTGATATTAACATACACACACATATATATATATATATATATATATATATATATATATATATATATATATATATATAT